TGGTGTCAAAGGCCTTGCTCAAGTCCAAGCAGACAACACCCATGGCTTTCCCTCATCCACTAGGCGGGTCACCTGGTCATAGAAGGAGATCAGGTTGGTCAAGCGTGACCTTCCTTTCATGAACCCATGCTGGCTGGGCTTGATGTCCTGGTTGTCCTGTACATGCGGTGTGAGCACACTCAAGATGACCATGTATCTCCTTTGAACATTTTGCTAAGCGCTACTAAAACTTTACAGCCCTGAGGAAAAAGACATATGTGGATAATTTGTGATAATTTATTGTAATTTAGCATTCAAAGCCCACTGTCACAAGACAGATGCAGTGACCTGCATCATTTGTTCCAGGAGGAATATTACATGCAACAAGGATGGCTCTCCAATTTACTCAACCCCTTACTAGTGAAAAGACAACTGATTCTGACGGTGGTTGTGGCCAAAACATAATTTATGATCATAGCTTACTACCAAACCCACAATAGGTCTGATAATTTTTTTAATGCCTGTGCTGCAGCATCTTAGATGAAAATACCCCGGTGCTCTGAATATTGTATGAAAAGTTTTCAGCAACATGGAAAAATCTGTCCTTTTTTTTTTTTCTTTAAAGTATTTTGTGCCACAGTTTGAGGTTCTATTCAATACATGCTTCTTTCAAAGCATTCAACTATAACTATAAAAGTTAACTATAAATTATTAAACCTACAATGGGCTAATTAATCTTTGTTCTCTCAAGTGACTACTAAAACCTAACATTTGAAATGCTATGTTGATCTCAAATTTTCTGCAGTGATTGACAGAAATGGATGATCTCCACAGACATCTCAGATTGCTGAAAACAGTGCTGTGAACTCCTGTTAATCTGCTGAACAGTCCTGTGACAGCTAAACTTTTATTGCCTGCTTCTGCCAAGTGATATTGGCATATGTGACATATATGGGCATATTCAGAATCTGGATATATGAACCTGCTACTGTAAGGTAAGCCAAGGAATGAAAACATCAGTTGAGAATACCTACCTGTGCGTGCCTGCACCTCCTCCACAGGACACACTGACAACCCCTACTTGTGCTCCACAGGGAGGCAATTTTTTGTCAAATTCCACCGAGAGCCTCCTAGATTTTTAATAGTGATGTTAGGCCAGCCTCTCTGTGTTTGCATATGTCAAAATGCAAGATGGGGATATACATGGCTTGTTTTAAGACAATACCAGTATTATAATACAAAACAAGACAATATCATGATAATATATAATAACTATGGCATACCTTACTGCAATTTACATATGAGCAGATGGGAATAATTTAATTTCTATATTGCCTTCTCCATCTGTAAAAAGGGTGTAACAGCTTTCTCACAAGAAGGCTACGAGTTTAGCACAGTAATGCAGGTACAGTAGCCTGAGATCCTCAAATGCTTGCTAAGTAAGGTGAAAGAGATACTGTGTTCACCAACCTATATGTTTCCCTTAAGTTGCTGTCAAAGAGCATCTAGATTAATTTACAGGAATGTTTTTCCGTTAACTTAAATACACGGAAACAGTTCCAGGCCAACTAAAGCATTCAAAGCAAAAGCTTAGTAAAATATTCTTGACATATAAAAATATAGAAATTCCTTGTCCATGGTTTTTTTTTTTTTTTTGTGTATAGCTGGCTAAGCAAAAAGAACTGTTAGGCTCTACTTATTTTAACAGAATATTTAAGTTTCAAGTAGAATGAGAACTCTTCCTTCAATCTCTGACTATCCTGATTAATGCTCTAGACAATCTATGAAGCTTTTCACTTCAAAAGGAATAAAAAACACACCAAGAAGAACCAGGACAACATAATATACAAAACTCTACTCACTGCCACTAGATGCCACAGATGCAAAGTGTTAAGTGGGATTCAAGAGAAATTACATGACTCTAGGTAGATGAAAAGCATCTATAAATATATTACATAGGGCAAAGCACTGAAATGGAATTATAAGAGCTAAGAAAAAAACCTTGCCTTTTTGCAGTTTATTTCACTGGAAACTGCTATGTGATTACTTGCAGCGAACTCTGGAGATAAAACACTGGACATGTGACACAGGTCTGATGCAGCTGGTGATTCTCTAAGAGTGATAATATTGTCTATTAAACTAGAATGAGCTTCTAGGGGCTCAAGGAGCTTCAAAAGAAGGAAAATTTCATCATCACCTCTTTGCACCACAGAAATCAAGGAAGACAACAACAAAGTAAGTTGCTGTGGTCAGCAAGAGAAAAATCAGAATAGAATACAATGCTGCAAAGCACCACTCTGGTACACTGTAGGCCCCTTGAGTGCCCAAGGTGTACTCTACATGCAGTTTGAATATTATTGCCATGAAAATGTTCAGAACAGTATAGCTTGCTCAAATACTCAAATAAAGACAAAAATGTTATTTAAAGATATTATATCAATATACATCAACAACAAACTTACTTTCACATCTAAGACATGCAGCTCAACTCTAACACTGGTTTCATCTTCTGTAAACATCTCAATCCTGTTCACATGGCTGAAGTCTGCCAGGAGAGCCACCAGGTTTGTTTTGGTGTTTATCACATGACTGATTCCGTACCGCGGCCCTACTAACAGAGTCACTTCTGAACGCTTTTCTCCCTGCTTTAGCAGAAGAAGGAAAACAGTAAAAAACATGTGAGGTACTGCATAGTGGCAGAGATCGCCACTGCCTTCTTTCATTTTCATGGAGCTGCATTTGCATGGTATTTCTACATTACAGATTATCGTGTTTTCCTAAGAAGATACGATATATAAGAGCATACTTGATTCATAATTAAAAACAAAAAGGAATCTGCTGCTGGATATTGACTGTACCGCAGTTTTTAGATGGACAGTTGGATGGACAGACAGATGGATGGACTCTGCTTCTGCTAAAAGAAAATCTTTGTCATTAGAAGTTTTCCAGACTGATAATTTCAGTATTCTATAGTTAGTTGAATGGCATTATTTGCCAAGAAAAGTGGTATCTATCTCCAAATCCCCAGTAAAATCCAAATTATAACAGGAATGTTATTTTCAAGATGAAAAAAAAAATGAGTTGGTTCAATTAACAATGATTTTTCTAAGTGTATGAAGAGAACCTAAACTTCTGAAGAAAATTACGTGGTCTAGCTTCTGCAAAAAGGTATTTGGATAGAAAATCAAGAGAAGAGAGAGACTATTTCCAAGAGAAATATTACCACTAGTATTGCCTTGAAAACACGCCCTCCATACAACCGTAGATCACTGAGGAACTTTAGATAATGCACCTTGGCTTGCAGAGCAGACAGCTGAGGAAGGAGAAACAGGGGTAAGAGTTAGTGGTGGAAATCAACACATTACCAAATTCAGAAAGAAAATTTATTTGTGTAGTCTAAGGAGAATGGACTGAAATAACAGCTCTTCAGAGCCTGAAACTAAATCATTAGGTGCTTGAGCTTCAGATGAGGAGAAAACAGTTTCATTCTTAAAATTAATATCTTGTTTGTTCAGTTAAAATGCACTGAGGACTTGGGTATGGGTGGATCAGAGCACTGCAAGAATATCGTAACTGCTCCAATGAAGGGAAAATGTTAAACTACTCAGATTAAACATCTGTTCATTGAGGGATTTCAAGGCTAGACAGCAGCTATTCATTATCACCATCAGTTCTTAAACATTTATGTACTTATACAGAGGAAGAGAACAAATAATTTGCTTTTGTCAGCCGTGTGTATTACATTTTGCTAGGTACTTGTGGCATATGGCATATTATTCCACCTCATTACCACATTTCCTATTTTTTTAAAATAAAAATCTTCCACTATATTTAGTAGGGAATAAATCTGAATGCTAAATACAGTACATCAGTACATATGATCATATCATGCAATACATGCCATAATTTATCTCCTTCTTTGTCGTCTGAGCTTAAACTACCTACTTAAAAAGAAACAACTTGGAACTATTTTATGAGACTGGAAACAAGAAACAGTTCATTTCACCCAAACAGTCTGGGCTCAAACCTTATACCTCCCTGGTGCAAATCCTTATATCTGGACTTTTAAAAAACAAGCTAAAACAAGCTCATCTCATTTGTTACTCTCATTTCAGCTGTTAGATTTCTAATTCAAAATCTTATTTGATCCTGAACAGCATTTCAAGAGCTCCTATCCTAAGGTTTTCTAGACACCAAGGAGGAAACGGATCCGAAGTAGAGCAACTAGTGGGAATGCTTTCCCCTTCCCTTCACCAGGTGTTCAGTTGGTGAAGGAATACATATGGGTTGTAAAAAATGGGAAAATCCTGAGAATGACAGGCTTCCCTTCATGCAGAGGGAGAAAAGACCCCCAAAAGAAACTGGTGTTAGTAGCTACAAGTGAGACAGAAGGTGATGATGAGCTCAGATGCTTTGTTTCTGAGACCTCCCTGCTAAAAAAGCAGGTGGGCACACAACACATTTCCAAAGCCCACATCAAAAAGAATGAAGCAAAACCAACAGTCTGCTTGCTGCAGCAAGGGACTGTTGCAACCTCTCTTCTAACCAAGAACTGATACCGTATGCCACTGTCATCACCTGCAAGGCTTGCAGCAGTGATGGCTTCCAAAGCAAACTCAAATTTACACTACCGGAATGAACAGTAAGCAATTGGCATTATTTAGCTTTAGTTTCAGCAATATAGCAGATGGGCAGTGCTTCAGTCAAAAAGGTGGCCTTTCTTCCTGAACATCACAGGTCTAACACATTCACAGTCATGATGTGACCTGAAACCTCCAAGCGGGATTTCTGCTGATCACAATGAACCTTAGCTCAGGCACCAGGTGTTTTGGGGTTTTTCTGTCCAGAAACAGTGTGTCATGAAGCAGGATTCAACTAATTTTCTGTCTCAACTAGTCACTCTTAGGTTCTTTTCATAGTCCATGGAGAGAAATAGGTATTTCCAGGACACAAGTCATCTGACCTATTTTTGGTTCCTAATGTGGGAAGGGATGAACTGCTCCCCACAAGTGCCTGTTTCTCTCCATTGACTACAAAGAGATACCAGATGACTTGCATAAAGAAACCTCAGTACAGTGTCTAAAACCAGCCTCAGCCGTATGCATGTAACAAAGGCATTTCTCAGAGGCATTGTCTTCTATGTGTTTTTCCAGATGAAGTGAAAGCTTAGTGCTAAGAAAAGCATTTTACAACAGCAAGGAGGGTCATTTACTGTAAGGAGCATCATCTATCCAGTTAGATCTTGGCCAGCGAAAAGCCTCTATCTGCAGCATAATGGAAAACAATCCCAAAAAACAGCATTTATGTCAGGCCCATAGGCTAATGTGGTTCAGATAAGAGCATGAGAGAGAGAACAACAACCTTCCTAACAAGTCTGACATTAATAAGAAGCACTAAATTAATTAAAAAACATATATATCTTTATCATACATGAAGTATTAATAACCAGTTTTCTGGCACTCTCAAGAGAAGAAGACACTTTAGTTAGGGTATAATTAATTATTTTTAATTGTTCTTGGTTATTTCGGACCAAGAACCAAAAGTTAAATTCTCTGAAATATAATGGCTAGGTGTTTCTCCAAAGGATTAACTTTAAATGTTTCCCCTGCATGCCACCTTTTCTATTCTTTAGAACATATTTTTTCATTATGATGCAAATGTAATACCTTTTTACCCGGAGGAACTAGGTTTTGATTTGCTTTGACAAGGTGTGAAAGTGCTTTCTTTATGTTCTTTTCTTTCATGCTTTGCAGCACGGCAGATGGAAGAAAAGTTTCTAATCCCCATTCTTTTCTGCAATAAAAGGCATATATTTAATTTCACATTCCTGTGATGATTATTTATCTAAAGATTAGTGACTATGATGCCAAATGAACGAACACCTGAAAACAGGAGAGCTGATCAAGTCCAGAGTTTTGCCATAAAACATTATTTTCTATATTCAAACTATAGATCATGCTGTATTGTTAAACACTGCTTAATTACATAGGCAAGTACCATTATGGAATTAAAATCACAGAAGATTTAACAACATAATATCAGATTTAATTTTATTTTCTAGGCTTTTTTTCAGAACACGTAGACCAGCCAGCCATTGTCTTTGTCACTTATATTTTGTGGGTTTTTTTTTCCCTGCTCAAAACCAAACAGTCCCCTTCCTTTTACCTAATTTTATTTTCTGGTTGAAGCAACCCTTTTGATAGAAGACTGTCACTTACAATTACTTACACTTGTAAGTAATTATTTCTGATGATTCATTAATAGGATACAATATAACATGATCTTCAGAAAGGTGGATAAAGCTCTATGAGACTGAGTGTGCAACAGTTACTTAGGTATGCATGTTATCTAACATAAAACAGGAGCCTACTGGGATACTTCTTTATTTAATAAATCTTAGAAATGTAATCTAAGACTCTACAGTCTTCTGAAGCAATAAATCATTTGAATCTTACTACAATAATCTCTACTAAAACCTTAGGATTCAGACCATATAAATGTAGATCTGCCCATTAAATCATTGAAAGCAAACGAGTTAATCTTATTTAGATTTATAGGCTATTTCACGTTCCTAAACAGTGACTAAAAGGTAAATGGACCAAAATGTCCAGACTTACAGCTCTTAACACACCTGAATCAATTTCAGTGACAAAGAACGAACCAAAAATTGGTGCATGCATATGGACATTAATTAAAGAAACAACCTTAAAGAATCTACTAATTACTGGTAATGTTTCACTTTTAAAGAAAATACTGCATTCCCAACTTACTCTATATATTTGAGGGAGATTTTCTGAGTTTGTTTGGTGGTCACAGTTGCAATATACATTTGTAATGCAGCCAGTCGTAGGGCAATGTCATATTTCAGTTCTGGTCCAAATCTTTCCTGTACCACGTCGTTACAGCTCTGCCAAAGAACCAGTAGAGGGAGCATCAAGTTCAAAAATCTTGCACTAGAAATAAACAGCTCTCAGAGGTATCAGATGCTCACCAGGATATGGGCACTTCTGAAGAACACAAATTCTTCTGCCAAAGAGCAGAAGGCATGAGCATTTTGATCTAAGCTCTCTTCGTCCCTCCCTGGGGAAAACAATAATTCTTTCACAAAGAGAGCTGGAAGGGTATCAGTGCACCTAGATCAGGATTCTACCTGGTGAGCTACCCAGGAGAACCACATTACTTGTACATCAGTTTTCTCATCCATTTTACTGGAAGTTCCTTCTCAGACATCATTTTTGTCTGATATTACAATATCAGAAATAAGTATTAGCAATTACTTCAGCTTCACTCTTTTCTAAAGCCAAGTATATTTTGGAAAGATATCAAAGCATTACTATTTGGAAAGACTTATGAAGGAAGCGGACTTTGCAGATGATAAAAGATTTGCACATTCCTGAAATGCATTCATTGGCTTTATGCAGCAGAAATTAAATCCAGGATTGACTAGTGCAGCCATGCTTTTCTGTGTGAAGATACAAATCTATATATACACTGAGTGCAACTATCTTTTTATTCTCCTTTACACTAACACTTACCTGTACATAGAGATATTCAAAAGCAACTGGATCTCTTCTTAAGAGATCAATGGGATCCTTTGGGACAAAGCTAATCCTGAAAAGACATCTCATCTTATGCGAGCTTGGCCTCTGGGTCACCTAGGAGAGTGCAATAATCACATTAGACCTTGGCAACCCTGGCTGAGCAACATGGTCTGTAGTCTTGGGCAATGCGACCCTGCTCCAGAGCCACATGGTAGCAAGAAAAATAATTCTATTCAACAAAGAACTTTTCCACGGGGTCCTTATTAAGTTCTTCACATAAGAACATCATATCTATAATCTTGTGAAAAGACTTTTAGACTCATATAGGCATGACTGCTCAATACAACTCATCCTCAAAGCAACAGAATTCACTCATTCAAAACCAAACTGAAAGGACAGAGAAAATGGACTTTAATGAAAACCACCCAGGT